CCCCAAAACCCCAAAACCCCAAAACCCCAACTGACCCAAAATAAATTGAACCCAACTCAAAAATATCTGCCAACAAATATTATTCCTATTGCAAAGCTATAACAAAAATTCATCCAAATCCAAATAGTAATGACAACAACTATCCTACTGAAGAGAATAAGGAAGATGAAGGAATATATGAAGATTCCGGAATTCCACTTCAAAATATGGACAGGCCGGAATCTCAGATGTTCCAAAATCCAGCTCCGAATCCAATAACAGCAAGTGATTTACCCAAGATAATAGAGAGGCTGATCTTGTTCATCTTGGAGACACCTTTGCTACGGAAGAAATCTTTAATTCTCTAAAGAGTAAGTCAAGTTTATAATCTTCTAGCCTATTATAAGAAGCAAAGGAAGTATAAAACAGATTTCATTTACACTCTTAAAGACCTGAAGAAGTTCCCTCAGATGATGAGTACTAGAAACGCAAGAAAATACCCAAGGAAGTTTGGTCCCTTGACACAAAGAAAAAGAGTAAATCTGTTCGAAATGTTTTGAAGAAGAAAATAGCCTTCGATCCAGAAATGAGTTTTTCGACTCTTGGGTCTACCCAAAGAATCAACTCTTTCGTTAGAATAACTAATGGGGATCGAGTATACCAATATCTCAGATCTTTATGGGTTTTAGACAAAGATGGTCCAAGCCAAGAAGACTTGAACAACCCTCAAATAACAATGCTTAGAAAAAAAATATTCGAGATGATTAGAGATTATGAATTATCTCAAGTGTACTGCTCATTTTTATCTTATGGTAACCAACCAAAAGTTGGGCCTTACTACGAGTGAGCTTTTGATGATGGAAAGAATAAGATTTATTTATGTCTCTTATGAGCTCAGAAGTTTCAGTACGGCACTAATATGACCAAATCTGCCAAAGATGGGCCTCATATATGAAAATGTGGCAAGAATAGCAACGTATTGCTTAAGGTAAGTTTATTTCTTCTCAATATAAACAATTATAGGTATCGACAGCAGGAATAAGTAATCAAGATCCTTTGCAATTAGCTAGGTCTTTGTCAAAGAAGTCTTTGAGACCATGCAACTGAAACGTATACGTTGATGTTTTGGAACCTGATAGTGCTGTTGATAGAGGAATGTTCATTGATAATTATGGATTCTCAGCAATCCAAGGAAGTAAGCAATGAGGTTGCCTAAACTATAGTGCAACAGCCACATTCTTATAAAGTGGGAGATCTCGTAGGGTCTCAGGTACACCAAGATCATGCAAAGAGAAATGTGATTTCAGAAAACGAGAGGCAATTAGATACAGATTCTCCTTCTGTTAAAGGTAAGCAATAAAAAACTAATTTTGGAGTCATAATAATGCTCAAAATTGGTCTTTAATTACAATATGATTCTATCAGTTTAGCTTTGTGGATACCTCAGTCTTTGTAATAAAACAGCCAACTGATTTATTTCGAAAAAATTAGCTTGCTTGACAATGTTTTCAATTGCAATAATTTTAACAAATATTCTATAGAGCTGAAAGAATTGTGAATTGAGTTTGAATCAACAAGTAAGCCTTTTGACTTGTAGTCAAGAAAGTTGACTCATTTTTTTATTTACTAGCTTGTTCTTTGCGACAGAGGAGAAGTTATAGCAATATTATTGCTCTACTTTGTAACAAAACTTTGCTCTGTTCCATCAAATTTTGTTCAATAATATGCTGAAAGAAGCATGATAATGTGAAGAATTAACCAATTTTAAATAGTCAGGAAAACCAATGCTCTTAAATTTGAAGAAAATAAGTGCATTATGGAAGATGACATGGAAGATCAAGAAGGTACTTTAAAGTCTAATGCTTAAATCAGAACATATTATTGACCTAAATAACTTCTTGTCCCTAAGTATGGGAAAAGGTGTTATGAGTTAACTTAATTTTAGTAAAGGAGCCTATTAGAACTATATTAAAACATTATTTACTGGCTTTTAGTTATATTAGGCTGACTAATCCCTTAAAAGGCATATGTTTTTCATAATTTTTTGCTTCTAAAATAATGCTGAACTCTCTATTACCACTTTAAAAGGATAGTTTAGTACACTTTTGTACTGTGAATTTGACACTAAAGTTATAGATAAAGCAGATGCCAGCCCTGTGAACGAATTTGGACCTATTCAAGAACAGAGTGATGAAGAGGATAAGGCTAATCAACGTCATTATAGTTCCAGAACTGTCAGCAATAAGTCTGTGAGGGAGGGAGAAGGGAACACAAAGAGGCAAACAGAAGATCAAAGTAAAGATTCTAAGATGAGAGAGGAATTTTATCCTGCAGCTGAAGGTACTATAGAACTGAAGAATGAAGGTAACTCTGTAGAAGAGCCTATTGTGGAACAAGACGATGTCTCCATGAGGCAAGATGCTCAAGATGAAAGATCAGACGATCCTACTATGGGGAGACTATCAATAGATGAATGGGAAGGACAACCTATATTCAAAGATCAGAAAGGATTTCCAGACAAATTCATTCAAACCCATCCGATGTTCTTTGTCAAAACCTGTTTTGAGATTGGGTCAGGAAAAATTCAAGAGAAAGTCTCTAAATTGCTTATTAAAAAAGATGAAGAGGGAAAACTGCTCTTTTTTAATCCTAATATGAATAATATTGAAGAATTAGCTACTGAGTTATTAAATAAAGATCACCAAACACTTGCTACTATCGATTTGAAGAAAATTTATGAAGACGCAAGCAAAATGATAGTTTTGGATGGTAAATAATATATACAAATTTATCATTTGCTTTTAAATTTGCTATTTTATTAATAATCTTTAACATAGAGAATCTTGGCACCAAAACAGAAGCGATTCCAGAAAGATTTACTAATGATTATATCTCACAAGATGCTACCTTTACTGTTACCATTAGATCTAAAATTCCCTCTAAACCATTAGTAGAAGAAACTTTCAGACTCAAGATAATTCAAGGAGCTGTTGGGGAACCACTTTTTGTTGATGATCAAACTGGCATTATGAATGCAAGAGCTACCAAATTCTTGCAAAGAGATCATGTAAGACTGAGTCATGACTTGATGAAGCAAACTTATGGAGATCCAAATCAAACAATCTTTTACACAGGTAAATTTATATACCAGTCATTAACCGCTTAAAACTTAAAATATGAGCTATACAAGCATCAGGGAGGTTCCCTCTTTAGCCTAGAGAAGGTCTCTGTAACTTTTGACCCCCTAATTTTATTTCCTGTTGATCGAACATTGGGCCAGACTTTGAGCTGTGTGGCTTAAAGCTAGAACAATCCCAGTTAGACTCTGTTATTTTGTATTTTATTTATGCTGAAAGTGAGTCATTGCTTTGGTGACTTATTTCCTAGCTTGCATAGGTTTGTAGTTGCTCTTTGTGAGTAATCACACAAGAAGAGGGTTTTGATATAAATTTGCTTTAGAAACAGATGAGACAAATATGCAGAATCAGCAACCAAATCATGGGATGAACCCAAGAAATATTGGACTTGTTCGAAGTCAACCTGTAGGAGATCCTCGAGGTAATATACAGTATTTTTAAATTTTCTGAACAAGTTGTTCTAAAAGTTGGAACAATTTTTAAATCTTAGGAATAATAGTTAATTTCAAGACTATTCTGATTAACATAAATGATTATAAAAGCTAGAGGTCTATCGGTGCTAAAACCGAACACTTGATTCTGAAATATTCAGATAATATGAATAAAATCTGAACTTTGTAGTAAATATGCATTATATTTTGAACTGTATTAATAATGGGCAGCATTAAATAGCCCTTGTAAAATTTTAGAAAATTTAGAATTATTATTCGATTTTAGAAAAGTCTGCTAGCAAAATGTTGATAACTATTGTATCTGCTGTGTAAAATTTGTTGAAGGAGAGTCTGGGGATAACTTAACTTGTTAGTCATAATCCTAGAATGGAAGGTTTTAGTTCTGATAGTTATTGTATCACGAACACTACCTACCCCAGATTTGAATATGAAAGTTTTGGAGATTATATAATCCCTGATCATATATGGCTTTGCTATTTTAGGACATTGATAAAAGTATGAGTATTGCTTTGTTGGATTATATTCCAAACCAGAAAAATTAATAATCTTAATTGGAACAGACTAGAAACTATTTGTGATGCAAAGCATTAGGTTAGCTCTTTTAAAGTGCATAATTGCTTGTGGTTATAACTCTCATAAAGTTACCACCTGCTTGTTTGAGTTCAAGATTTGTCCACAAGCTAGAGTAATCTTAGATATTAAGCTTTTAATGAGAGAGCAGTCATTTATTTAAGACTAAATTTATGATATTTTAACTCATGGAGATATTTTAGGGTGACCATTTTGGATCAATTTGAAATCGATTTTATGAAGGATTACTATTTTGTTTTATATATCGAGAAGGGAATTATAGAGCTCTCTGTGAATAGAGCTTTAATATTATTAGATGTTATGAGCTTGTTTTAAACACTCTATAATATCCTCAAATTTCTTATCATGAATCACCATTTCCTGATACTCAAGAGGGAGAAAATGAAGGCTCAAGCTAGAGCTAAGTTATCAACATTTTGATTATTTGGATTTTATTTTTCTTTTGAGTAATATTTATCTATTTTCAAAGGATTTCTCTAATGTTATTCATATTCAAAAGCACAATTTATTGATAAATTTGAAAATGCTCTTGTTAATATTTAATTAATAAGTTAAAAATTAGAATTTAGGTAAATGCCATCTGATTCTTTATAAAAACTCTAATTTTTACTCTTTTCCAAACACTCTCTATTTCATATTGCACACCTATATGCTTAAAGGATCTTAATGAAAACAGTACAGAGCATCTCTTATATTTCATTAGCAAATATTTGGATTTTGGATTCAAGGTTAAATGCAGAAATTCATATTATAAATAATATTCCCCTTTGAAATAAGTCCAAGACTCATTGGGCAACTAATAATGTTAAATCTAGATAATATTAAGCTTGGGCGTTGTAATTCTGGTGCTTAAATATTTTTAACAAACTAGTCATGGTCTTGATGAACCATTGATGTTGTCTGTCTTAATTATTTCAGTATTCTATTCTCTATCTCAAGGATTCAAGTAAAATTTATAGATCGAGCATTTGGAAATTATAACAATTACCAAGAAGCTCAACCTCAGTCACAATATGCTCAAGAGAGTTCCTATGGTCCTAGACAGGCAGATCCAACAGTATCTCGAGTGAGAGAACAGGTAGACCCATATTCAGGAGATAGAAATGTGGATGATAGATATCGTGGAGTTTTAGATAGATCACAAACCTCAGGTAATAAACATTCCTAAAAGTTCAGTTTATTATCTCTAAATTCCTCATTCAGACACCGAAGCTTTGTTTATATTAGTTTTATAAGAACACGATCTTTAAGCAATATAAATCTCAGAGTCGGCTTCTTTTTATCGTATAAGGTTGTCTAGCGATTAAGTAGAATTCGCTATCTTCAATACTTCGATTCTTGGAAGCTGAATTTTAGAAATAATGAGCTAAAATTTTTGAATAATTTAATTAAGAATACTCCTGTGCAAGTTAGAGAGACCGTGACTTTACATGCTCCTTTAATACATCCTACTAATTGTTATGGTTTAGGTCAAAATTTGGGAGGATATAGTTCTCCTACTACTGCCCCGATATATCAATCACAAGTGTTGAACGAAAGACCAGCTGGGGCTATGACTTATATGCCTTCCTCCTTCCAACCTCAAATGCAACAATTTCCGATGCTAAGTTATTCAAATAGTCAAAATAAGCCTGGAACCAACAAATTAAATGACATCCTCGAGTATTCTGATGATTCTGAAGATGAAAAGGTTAAAAATCCTGAACACAATGAAGCACCTTCCTTTGGCAACAGCGGAATTCAGTCGAACAAACCGAAGTAAGTCTAAATTCGATATGGATATTTGTTGATTTAGCCTTGCCAGCTTGCTGTTAGAAAACTCCAAATCTAACTTAATTTTAGAAGTCTTCATAGACAGCAAAATAGATCTCAGATAGATGCACAGAACACCAATAGTGAAAGCCAATGGATGCAATATCAAAAACAAGAGTATGGGATGGTATTGATCATTTTAGATCTTATGATGGAAGCAACCCATCTCTTTTCAGGACAACAACGATAGATGGAAAAATAGTTGAGTTAGAAGTCGATATTCTGGATAAGTTTGTCAAAGATCTTATTGAGGCCAATCATCTTCAAGGAGATATTTCAACACAAGATCTCTATGTATATGATGAGAGTCAGGATAAAATTACACATTTGTTTGAGCTTCTTTGCCATGGAGAATTTTCCCCTGGACTATTAAAGCTATTAACTATAGAGAAAGCTGATGACTCTGATTTATTTTATTGCTTGAATTCTGCTCATGAAACTAAGAATGCTAAGGATTATAGCTTAATACTCTCGATCCTCTCATTGGTTGTAGGGGATTATACTAATTTTTATACTCATTGTGATACTTTAGTAAAGACTATTTCTCCAAGAGAGGATAAAACTCCTAATCAAAGAAAAGAGCTCTCAACTCTAATCATGTCACTGGTTCATGGAAACCCATTCGAGCCCGACCTTCGAATTACAATGGATGTTGAGAAAGAGCTCCAATATTGCTTTAACAATCTTTTTAAAACCAAAGCTGAGGCTGCTATAGACCTGCACACTCTTTTATCAAGAAACCAATATGAGCTTTATGAGTTTTTAAGTGATTTCTCCAATTTTGACTCTACTTTGGAATATGACCAAAAAGTTGTCCTTCTACGGAAGAAAATGTATAGAATGATATACTTCAAATTCAATTTTGACCAAGAATCTTTTGAATGGCTTAAAGCTCTCGGCTGATTGATTCTTGGAGATATTGAGAGGATTGAGTTTATAACTGGCAAATTTGATCTCCCTCCCGCTTCAATGGATGTATTGAAGGCTATCACTACTTTGAAAACAGAAGAAATGGAACCTTTATTCAACTTAATTCAAAAGAGAGTAAGCCTAATTTCACTAAACTTTAGACTAAGAATAAGATTAACGTTAAGATCCAGAAGATTTACACAAATATTCTGAGGTCAGACATTGGAGCTGCATTTATGCTGATATTTGGAGATAACATTTCTTCCTCTAAACTATTCAAGAGACTGTCTCGATACACTAGAATATTTAATATGATAATTAGTCCAACCCATTGATCCGCAGAAAAGATTTCAGAAGTTATAGGAATAGAGTAAGCTACCCATGCGAGTAATATAGAAAATCCATGAAGGATATTAATGACCTTACATTTGACAGAAGTAAGATGATATTGTTATTTTATAGAATTCATAACAAACTTAATTCAACTTTTCAAAGGAGAATTACCACTTGCAAAAACTAAAGATATAGTCATCAAGATTCTCAACATTTGTGAGAAAGAAGACCTCTGTGAGTTTCTGGACAAGAATCCAAAGCGTAAGTTGACAGAATTATTTCATTTAGACATTGAGTTAATTGATACACTTGTTGGAGCTCTGAACGGAAATATATTTGACTTTGGAAGCATCTGTGACTTCCTGTTCTTTGGTGATAGAGCTTGGATATGCTCATTCCTAACCTCCATGGCTGCTAATTCATCTGTCTTTTGATTTAAAGACGATTCTCTATCTAAGAGTCAGACCAAGGAACTAATTTGAGCTCATTCTAGCGCGCTTTTTAGAGCAATATTAGGAAAAGAATGCGAAGGGATAAATAACAGTAAATTCATTAATGCTTTCATTGAGATTTTCACTTATACTTTGTGAAGGAAGAACAAAGATATTATCGACCACATCGACATAATAGACACCTTGATTGGACTTGGCTCAGACTGACTAGACAAGAGAGTTTTGGTAGTATTAAAGGCTATCATTGAAGGAGGGTCCACAGAGGAGCTTGATAGCTTGATCAAAATGACTATTAATTATATTAAATCAGATATAACTATTGGAAAAGAGTTGTGACCTACCCGTGAAATCAATTATTGAACATTAAAGGAAGGTAATCAAAATGTTCATAAATTAAAGCCTTGAATTAGGAATGCTTCTCTCTGTTTATATCATAATGATCTATTTGGCTCAATATATTCTGTCCTTTCATTGTTAAAAGATATACTCAAAATGAGTTACCAAGAGAAAGAATCTTTGACTAGTCTCTCTTTCTATTATGATTTAAAAGCTATAACTTTTAGTTAGCTTATATACAAAGGAGAAATAGATTAACCATCTTTTTTTGGAAGATAAATATCAAAGTCTTCTTTAAAGTTATTCTAAGAACTAAATTTATTAATGAGTCCTCTTAATAGGTCTAAAATCATATCGAAGATCTATCTAAAACATTACCTTCTTGTATTGTCAGACTTTATGGATATAAAGACAAAGCTTTTTACATTTGAAATTTTTCTAACTTCAATCTTAAAGCAGAAACTGAGCTTCTAAATGAAAGAGTTCAAAGAAAGGATAATCTTGGAGAAGATTTCAAAGGTAACCTCCTTATCTTCATCCAGACACATAACTTCGAGCCAGAGTTGGTAATATACCCAGAACATGATCCAGGAAATTTTCTAAATGAGATTAATCTCTTCGGACGGGTTGGGATAGTCTGAAATCCAATAATTATGATGGAGGCCTTGCTGGATGTATCTATGGCCAAACCCTATTGTATTAATCGCTTTATCGAAACAATCTTGCAGCCAATATTCAGGAGAAATCCTATTTTAAGACAAACAAGTGACATTATTAAATAAAATGCTTGCTAAAGACTTTAGTTTTACTATTTATGAGGTAGATGATATTTTAAATATTGCCAAAGATGCTCTGATCAAGACCAAATCAGAAGCGTATCGGGCTTCACGTTTAGGCCATGGTGAAGCTTTTGCGAATGAGGCTCAGGATATCCTAAGCGGGTTGGCTAAGCCAAGAACAATGGTACGTTTATGTTAGGAAACAAAAATATTAGTGGAGGTTTGGAGTGCAGTTTTAAGATAACTTATTTCTTTTAGATGCAAAGCAATATTCAACAATACCACAATATACATGAGATGTATGACCAACGCTGAATGAGACTGATTTGACTTTTATTTGAGCTGCTTGATCCTGAAATAAAAATTGAGGATGTAAATGATGTTTTTATGAGAATTGCTAGAGAGATCATAGAGCTAAAGCCAGACTTGTTTAGAGGTGCTTACCATAGAAGAGATGGGAGGGAGTTAATCCCGACAATAATCGACATCATGTGGTTTGTCTATGCCTTTGCTAAGAAAGATTTGTCCATGATATCTGATATTAGCTCTTCATTCACAGACGCTAACTCTGACACTCAAAAGCTGATTACAGAGGTGTTGGGGGTTTTAAGAAAGTACAACTGTAACATCTTTAATTCAAAGTACTATAATTTACCAGAAATGCCACATTACACTGAAGAGTCTTTCTACTTTATCAAGAAGAGGCTTGCAGATCCTAATTTCAAGATTTTAAACCAAGCTCCTATGTTTGTAGAGAGAGGAAATCAGATTGTGAAAAATGCTACACAGGATGCAAAGGATCAGGTAAAGGAGAAAGCAAATGAACTTGCTGAGTACGTTAAAAGCTCCTCAACTAGTTATATTAAGGAAGTTATGTACAAAGATCTGTTCAAGATGTTCGATCTAAACCAGAGTGGAAGTCTTTGATTTGCTGAGTTCCAGGACCTGTCTAAGTACATGGGTATTCAGCTCGACAAAGAGCGAGCTCTCAAGATGTTCTCGATGGCTGATAAGAATAAAGATAACTTTATTACTTTGGATGAGTTTCCGGAAGTTATGAAACTATTGACTGAACAGATAGCTCTTGACACCCTCAGAAACCTTAATCTGACCTCCAGGGACTTAATAATGTTTGCAGTTCTGACTCTTCTTTATTTGGTATTAGCGCTAATCTTCATCTTCTTTGGCATTTTCACCTTCAGCAGGGCTGATGGATTCAGTGCTGTAATCAATTCGATCATGCCTCTAATTGCTGGAGGAGTCGCTGCTTTGAGGAGTATGGATCTTTATGATAGATTAGAACATGTAAAAGAGTATATTGAAGAATTCATCAGAAAAATGAGAAGAATATAAGAAATAACTATTATTTTGAGATTTCAATATGTTAAACCATATCTGGGGTTTTGGGGTTTTGGGGTTTTGGGG